ATCCACTCACCTTGGCCTCCCAAAGTGCTGGGATTACAGGCTGAGACACCGAGCCCGGCCTCAATGATACATTTTTAATTGGAATCATGAAGCTAATATAGCAGACCCTCTAATAAGCTCAATTTTCTTCTTAACTGTTACAAATATTTAAAATATGAAACAGTCAAAAAATTAACCAGATGTGGCTGTGTGCACCTGTAGTCCCAGCTATTCAGGAGGCTGAAGAGGGAGGACTGCTTGAGCCCAAGAGTTCAAGGCTGCAGTGAGCCATGATCATGCTACTGCCCTCCAGTCAGGATGACAGAATGAGATCCCAATTCAAATAAAATTAAGTAAAATATGAAACAAACATAAGTCATTTCTAAAGTTAATGCAAAATTATTAGTTTTACTGGTTGTTAGCTGATTATTTCTATCTGAGAAAGGGTCAAATGAAAGAATTTTATCATCTAAGCAAATTGGGACTATTAACACAAGCAAGTTGCTGTAACCATCGCAAATAAGCAGGGTTTTCTGCTCAGTGGCTGATATTACAACAGAAAGATTTGACAAAGGCGTCTCTAGAACAGCCAACATCTAGGGTAATTTTTCTTGCAGCACGAGGCAACCTGAGCCTTAATTTACAGTCACTTCATCACTTCATAATTAGAGACTCCAATCCCATTCTTCTCTAAGTGAGGCTGACTCACAGACCCCATTTCCTGGACTGAAATTATATAATACTTAATATTCAAAGTTGGATTCAATGAATTTATTTGCTGCTTGATTCTATTCTTAATTATTTGCATATTTTTCCTCTTGGTTAAGGATACAACTCTTACAGACATTTTAATGATATTAAATTAGGCTATGTGTATCTTTTTGTATTTGTCATGTTAATGACAGTAGCTTTTTATCTTTACAGCAGCTCTTCTATCTACTATATAATAGGGATGGCCTGGGTAAAGGATATATTCTAGAACTCTGGTAAGCTCTTTAACGCTTTCCTCCCCTCTTAGGCCCTGGTTTGAAGTGGTATGCCTTGGCCTGAGAATTATTGGTCTGGGATGATTTAGGCTGACTAGGTCTGGACTGAGAAGGCTTAGATTTGGAAGACTGGGACTTGCATGGCTTGGGCTGAGTAGATTTGGATTGAGACGGTTTAGTTTGTGAAGGCTGGGACTGAGGGGGTTTTGTCTGAGAAGGCTTCGATTGAGAGGGAACAGGTTGTAAGGATTTGTGCTGGGAGTGTTTGGCGTGGGATGGCTTAGGTTGATTGGATTTGAACTGAGAGCTCTTGGACATGGGATGAGACGCTGTTTGGGAAGCTGGATTTGAAGCCTGTGTCTTCAGCTGGGCTTCTTGCTGAGAAGCAGGTCTTACTAGTTTTTTTATGGCTCCTGCTGGCTGAAAGGATTGAGGGTGGGGATCTTCAGTATGGAATGTCATTCTCATACCTTTTCCAGTTCCTTCAGTTAGCTGTGTTCCCTGGACGCAGGCTTGCCTCGGCTGTGGCCTTCGTACTGCTCCTGCTGGCTGTGAATCCAAAGAATAGGAAGGAACTACCTGGGAGACTACTGCCCCAGACCTTTCAAGGGTTCCTATTGTTTGTGATCTCTCTGGACAGGCCTGTACACGTTGTGAAATGGATCTTGGTGGTCTCCCAAATGTTCCATTAGAGTGATGTCCCCGAGCAGTTCTTGAAGATTTCATGAATCTTTCACCTGTATAAAATCTCTGGGGTTGGAAAGATTGAATACCAACACTTTTACCTCGACTCTGGGTCCTTGCATTCTGAAAGGTCATAGGAGATCTCTGCTCTGACCCAAAATGGCAGCCCATAAACCAGGAAGATTTCAAGAAAACATGGTTAAGTTTACCTCCACTTCTGGCTGGGAGGGGACAGGAGATTTCTGGAAGAGGTTTGAATACTGGAGTGTAGTGGAAATTCTGAAGATTCTGGCTGACCTTACATCTAGCCCCAGGCTCTCTTATAGGCATTGGAGCCTGGCTTTCAGGTGAGCTTTTTGCCTGACTATATTGCTCTGCACTTTCAACTGGTCCAGCCATGTTTTCACTAGAAGAAACTTGAATTCCTTGGGGGTTCTCAAAATCTTGGTCTACCTGAATCCCTAGCTCCCTGGCCAGGGAGGCCATGTCCTCCACAGACACACACCTGAGGGAAGAGGACAGCATTACTTCCTGGAGGGCAGCTTGAAGGCCCTCCATATTCTTCCTCTCATCCCCAGCTTCCTCTCCCTCCCAAAATAAAAGCTGTGATGGCTTCAAATTCAGTATCCTCTGGAAAATCTGAGCTTCTTCACTTTCCCTGGCTTGGGAGTTAACAACAAAGTAGCATCTTCCAGTGGCTGCTTCTCCTAAAAACATTAGCAAGTCCCATTCCTTCTCACCTAGGCAGTCAGTGAAAAAAAATACTGCTGAGGAAACTTCCATCAAAAAGCCAAACTGAATCCAAAACCTTTCCAGATCTCCACGAAGGTTAGCCACAGCAACAGGCTTTTGGAAAAAACTATGGTTTTCCCTTAGATCATCGCTATCAGGAAAACACCACGTTATCTCAACCAGACCATCAGAAATTTGCCGGGGAGGCACCAGAACTGGCACATCTTTATGGAGAAAGATTCTGTGTGATTTTGTCTGGGTAGACCTGAGCAGTGTGTTGAGGATTCTGGACTTGGAGAAGCTACAGTGTCCTAGACGCACAAAAGAAATGACAGGCATCTTCATGAGAATCAGAAATGTTTCTGCATCCCCACTAGGCCCTCCTGAGCACTGTGTGGACTGCTTCTTCATAATGTCCTTCATGGCTCCCAGCATTAAGATGCTTTTGTTGTTTTCTGCATCTGGCAGTAGCAGGGGAAGAGCAAACTGGCATTGATACATGTTTGACATGACTTCACGTTGCAAAGAGCTATCTGAACACAGCATGGAGGCACAAAGGACATCAAGAGGATTAATGGTTTGTACATCTTGAATTTCTAAATTCTCCACTCCAGCCAGCAATTCCCCTTTGCCGTCTTCATCCAGAACCCTGTGCCTGGGGACTGAATCTCTGGCCGTCACATCCAGTGCTTGAACTTTCATCAGAAAATTCCAGGCTAAGTCTCCTGGACTCTCAGGTGTCCATTTACATCCTCGATCTAAGGAGAATTGTTTCACAAAATCTGGCAGGACCTTTCTGCTTCTATCCATGTTCAAACATGACAGGATGTCTTTAAACACTTTTTTGTTTTCTGTAACAAAAAAGATACTTGTGAATGCCCTGATCAGAATCTGAGTTTCTGTCATTGACTTTTAAAATTAAATAAGTAATTGGCATTTTCGCTCCAAAAAGATGAAATAATACAAGGTGAAAGTCTCCTTTCATCACTCTGGCAAGTCTACTTCCTTCTAAAAGACATGTCAATATGGTACAGCGTGTTTGCTTGCCATCCTTTTTCTACACAAAAACATAAGTATGCATGCATATGTAGAAATATATAGATTTGCTTAGTGGGTGCTATTTTATTTTTACATAAATGATATCATACTAAACAATTCCTCAACCCCTTTTCACTTAATAGCATTCCTTGCAAATTCTTTCAAGTCAGCATATAAGAGATTGTATTAGTCTATTTTGGGTTGCTATAAAGGAATACCTGAGGCTGGATACTTTATAAAGAAAAGGTTTGTTTGGCTCACAACTCTGCAGGCTATAGAAGAAGCATGGTACCAGCATCTGCTTCTACTTGAGAACCTTGGGAAGCTTACAATGATGGTGGAAGGTGAAGGGGGAGCACATGTGTCACATGGTGAGAGAGAGGGTGAGAGAAAGAGATGTGAGGAGTACCACTCTCTTAGGCAATCAGGTCTCACTATAACTAATAGAGCAAAAACTCAATCATTACCATGGGGACAGGACCAAGCCATTCATGAGGGATCAGCCCCCATGACCCAAACACTGCTTACTAGGCCCCACCTCCACTGTTGAGGGTCACATTTCAACATGAGGTTTGAGGGGACAAATATCCAAATTATATCAGAGATCTACCTTATTCACTTTAACCATTTCATGGTATGCCATAGTTTGAATGAACTTATTTAATCATTGCTATAGATGATTATTTAGGTTTTTCATTTTTTTAAAGATTTTTGCTCATGTTTGTATGCAGCAATGAAAACTCTTGTTAATATTACAGTACATACATGTGTGAGGAATTTTCTTTCTTTTTTTTTTTTTTTTTTTTGAGTTGGAGTCTCACTCCGTCGCCCAAACTGGAGTGCAGTGGCACGCTCCCAGTCACCGCAACCTCGACCTGCTGGGCTCCGGCGATCCTTCCACCTCAGCCTTCCAAGTAGCTGGAACTACAGGCGCACCACGTCCGGCTAATTTTTTTCATTTTATTGTAGAGATGAGATCTCACCAAGTTGCCCAGGTGGGTCTCAAACCCGCGGGCTCAGGCAATCCACTTACCTTGGCCTCCCAAAACTCTGGGATTACAGGCTGAGCCACCGAGCCCAGTCTGAGGAATTTTCTAAGTAGATGCTGGTTTCTTTGTTAATTTATCTCTTGCTAAAGCTTAGAGGAACTGAAGATTTTATTTCCATCAATGTTTTCTCAGAATTTACATGCTGACCCTAGTTTTTCCTAATCTTCCATTCTCTAATATATCTCCTAGCCACTTCTTATAAATATAGAGATAGAGCTGGGCTCGGTGGCTCAGCCTGTAATCCCATGCCTTTGGGAGGCTGAGGTGAGTGGATTGCCTGAGCCCATGGGTTCAAGACCCGCCCGGGCAGCGAGACCTCATCTCTACAATAAATCAAAAAATCAGCCGGGCGTGGTAGTGCATGCCTGTAATTCCGGCTACTTGGAAGGCTGAGGCGGAAGGATCGCCGGAGCCCAGCAGGTGCAGGCTGCGGTGGCCGG